ATTTCAAATTTTTGAGATAATTCACACTAATATTCCAATCTCAATAAAATTTCTGTTCTGACCTCCCACTCTCACCCCTACCTCTCTCATGATCTCACTTGCCTTAACATGGCAAAAACACCATGGTTTGTTGACCACTCTCTTTTTACAAACCCTCAACACAATTTGTTTTACTTCCCCCCCCATCCTACTCATGAACAGCTGAAAATAAACATGAGCAGCCAATTAAATTGCTTCACTTGAGATATAAGACGGCGAAACTCCAAAGAGGACCATTTCGTTGGGCCATCCATGTCCCATTGTCTGAATTTCCACCTCTCACATTCTCTTCTCAAACTCCCAACACTTTCTCAAATATCTTCATTCTTTCATTTTTCCCAAGGCACTAAGATCAAACAGCTGAACATTTCCACAAGCTCCACCACCACTCGCTTGCCATTACCTGTTCCTTCTAGCCTGTGCCCCATTCTAAAGCCAGTTTTCCTAATTTTATATAAGAAACCACTCTACAAATGTCAGGGCCATTGCTTCATCTTTGTTCTCTTCTGTGCCTCAGTTTTTCCTTCTGTTGCATAATTCCTATCAATATGTAAATATTCCATATTCATCTAATCTTAGAAAAATAAATATAAAGAGTACATCCTGTTCCCATTCAACCTACAGCTCCTGTCCTCTATCTCTGCTCCCCTCCATAACAAAACTGTCTAATGACTTTTCTCCCTCCAATTTTCTTTGCACCTGCTCTGATCAGGCTTTCACAAAGAACACCCCCCTCTTTCCCCTCCCCCAAAATTGTTTTGGTTAGGAATACGAGATTAAATACAGACTCAATGCTTTGCCTTATTTTAAATTGACTTATCAGCCTATTTGATATAATGGATTATTCTGGACTCCTTAAAACAATTTTTCCTGCCTTCTTGTAGTTTACAAACTCTTCTAAATTCATTCCTAATACTTTGGCTACTCTTTCTCAGCATTCTCTTGGTGCTCCTTGTGATCTCCCAGATGTCATAGCATTAGAATTTCCCAAGACAAAGTCATTGGGCTTTTTTCTTCCATCTATGGTCATGACCTTAACAGGCAAGGACTTTATACACTACTTGTCAATGGTACCCAAGATTATGTTTGACTTAGTTCTTTGCTTTTAATCCCACATGCCAACTGTTTAATTAATAAACTCACTGGAATGTTTAATAAATGTCTAAACCTATTTGGGTTCCTAATAAGGAGCTTACAATAGAACTTCCAATACCATGTATCAGATATTTTCTACACATGACCTTTCCTATTCTAGTTAATAACAATTCTACAAAACTGGCTTAAATTAAAAATTTTGAAATCACCATTATTGTTTCACTTCCATGAATAACTACATCCAACCTGTCTGTAAATCTTAAAATATATTTATAATTTCACCTCTTTTTATTTCTTTAACTACTACCTTTCTAATTCAAGACACTGTGCTCTTCTTTGGAAACATTCACTGGGATATTTTGTCAGATTCAACTAAAATGTATACTCCTGAAACAACCACTGGCCATTCTTGGCATTGGGTTAATTTAGAAATGTAGAAAAAGAGGCAGCTAACATCAGAAGTTTCTGGCCCCCTTGCAGCAGTCCTCTAGCAGATTACAAGATTAACCTATTTTCATTATCTTTCCCTGTGAGAGCTCAAATATGCGACAACAGTAATAAAATTGGATAGACTAGAACCTGGCAAAGAAATCCCATCTCTTAAAAGAGACAGTGTCTCATAAATCCACAGTCAGTGCTTCTAAGGTCTCCACAAGGAACATGTCAGTTACAAAAATCATTGAATTGAGAGAAACCTAAGAATTTTACCAGATAGCTTTCTGATACAGTTCACCAATTGGGATTATTTTGCCATTAGAAATGTTATCTAATAATACAGTTACCTTTTCAATTTTATCAAGTTTGTTGAGGAAACAAAAGCTAGCAAGTTCCCAAAGGCCAAATTCTCATGTAGAAGGAGAAAAGGTTTTTGTTCACTTTATATCCAACTGATTTCATTTTAAAATTTTGTTTTATTAGTGTTATGGCATATATCTATATATCCCTTCCAAAGTATCATGTGCTCATGGGTGGGACTTCTGGGAGTGACTGGATCATTGCTGTGTGATACTGGATTAGACAAATGATTGGTTTAACATAGTTCTAGGTGTGGGTGATGGATTTACTGAAGAGGGAAGATCCACCCTGGATGTGGGTGGCATCAGCCAACAGGCTTGCAGCCTGGATGGAATAAAAAGGGAAAGAAGGAAGGCTCACTGTTTCCTGCCTCCTACACTGTAGACTGTTTTTCCCCTGCCATGCTCCTCTGCCTTGCAGCCCTCTACAAACTGTGAGCAAAAATAAACATTTTCTTCTTTAATTTATGAGTAAGGTATTTTGTCCCAGCAATGAGAAATTGTCTTAAGACATTAATACATGTTTGTGGTCCACAAAGATTTTTCTCCTTGTGTGTAGGACATTGATTG